TGTATAATAACAGTCCTATTTCGTGAATGCGAGTTAGATGCAATTAATTCGAAGAAATCCTGTCTTATTTTATTCGTAGAGTATGACAATTTTGATGATATAATCCTCTCGAAATGATGCTGAACTAATGACTTGGCTCACATCACTAGAAAGGTTTGCCGTGAAGCTGTCTCATAGAAGTAAGAGACTGCATTCAAAAAGGACAGTGTAATCGAAATGATAGATTTTTCATGTCTGTGTAATGACATCTTTAGATTTAAACGTGATGCGTTACTAGAAAATGTCCTAATCTTAAACGAATAAGATTACGGGATGAATCATTAAATAGTAGTAAATATATCGATTTCTCATCAGTACCTCTTTTTCTCCCTAAAACTTTATCTCGATGCCAAGACAAAAATATTGTGAACATCCAATAAATCATGCACAAACCACACGCATACCAAAAGGAACCAAGGCTGTATCTTTACAGCTTTCAAAGTTTTTGATTTCTCAATATGATGTGGTTCACAACCGAATTCGTTGGTTATGTGCAAGATGCCATACATTTGAATCGAAGAAAATAATGACTGATCAATCAATGGAATTCAACGAAGATGAAAGTTCAAGTGATGATGGACCCATGACAGAAGGTTCTCCTGTTAATCAAAAAGAAAATGATAATGATGGCGCTGCCAGTATGAATGTCAATGAATTAAGTGAAGAAGAAAAACAAAATTCTCATATGGATAGTGGTATTATAGCTGAGTCAGATGACAATGATGATGAATCACCACATGTAGATCAGGCCACAACTGATCCTGAATCAATGGATGGAGATACAGATCATGTTTTGTATGAACTCGAACACGAGAAACGCAAAGCAATGGAAGAATTATCAGCTGTATTCGAACTACTGAACATTGATCCAATTCATGACAAGTCAGTTTGTGAACTATATCTCGATTTTTTTAAACGACGATTGTATTTAGATCAGCAGTATCACCTATTCGAATTAAAGTTGATGAAGTTTATCGTAAACTAAATCGATTATGTGACCTATTGGGTGACAACTCTCAAATTTCGAATAATCCAAATCCTCATGCACTAACAATATGTGAATCGAATGAACTTTTGAGTGGTTTGAAAAGGTTATTCGATGAGAGTGATCCTGATGAGAAGGTTCGTTTGATGACAATTGCTCCCAAAGAATGGGGTCGAGAAAAAATCGAAAAATGGTGCGTATTCTATTCTTTTTTCCTTTAATATCTCCGCATTTTCCACTTGAGTTCTACTAACAACTCTTTTCTATTTATTAGGTTTGGATCAAAACCTAATCAGGCTCGACGATCGGTTGCTCTTCGAAAAAACAAAGGAATACTTGCTTATCCAAAAAGTCTACGAGGAAATACACCTTTATCTGACTCAACAATTGACACTGTGATACAGTTTTATTGCGAAGATGGTATTAGTCGAACCTCGTCCAATTCTAAAGATACAATTAAAATTAATGGACAACGTGTAGCAGTTCGGTTTTTAGAAATGACTGTCTTGGATGCGTACCATATATTTGAAGAACGACATCCTGGACTTGTTTCACGATCAACGTTCAATACTCTTCGACCACGAGAAGTGAAGACTGCAGCACCACACGACACGTGCATTTGCATAATTCATGAAAATATTGACTTGTTACTAAAGGTTCGTAGCGTTGGCGTGTTGATTCGAACTTAAAATACCTTCATTATAGGCCTGGAACAACCATTATCGGAAATGTGCTGGTACAACTGCTTTATCAGTCACCAACCAGATTACTATGAAAGATCTGATTAATCAAATGGTATGCACAGACTCAAATGAAAAATGCTTCAGTGGTAAATGTAAAAATTGTTCATCGAAGAACATCGCAGCCATTCTGACCAGCGGCAACATAATGGATTTGGATGAAGAATGCTCATGGACTTTGTGGAAGAAAATTAACAATAAGTTCGACCTTCAACAGATGTTTGGCTCAGTTGAATCTCTATTATCAGAAATTGAAGAAAGATGGCCATCATTCTTGCTTCACACACATACAAACAGAGTACAACGTGAATACATCAATGACTTGCGCATTAAATCGACGAACGACTCGTTTGCGGTGGCGCAAATAGATTTTTCAATGAATTATACATTGATACGTCAGCGTGAAGTTCAACAAGGATTCTTTAGTCAGCATCAAGTCAGCTTATTTACAATTCATCTTACCATTGGAAATGAGCAAAGAAATATAGCCATTATCAGTAACTATATGGAGCATTCGACAGCATTTGTGCACTGTGCACAAAAAATTCTTGTTGAATTTATCAAGAAAAACTTTCCATTGGTAAAAAAGATCAATTATGTCAGGTAAATCGTGTCTTTCATGTCGTTTGTGTGCTATGTTGACTCTCTTCTTTCATTTAGTGATGGGGCATGTGCCCATTTTAAAAACAACACTAGTATCTTGAACCTGATTCATCACAAGAGGGATTTTGGTTTAGATGCTTCATGGACATTTACAGCTACGGGTCATGGGAAAGGTGCTGGTGACGGAATTGGTGCAGTACTGAAGTCTACCGCCAGACGTGATACACTTTCCAAAAATATTCTCATGTCAAACGCAAAAGATTTTTATAATTTTTCACAAAAACAACAACTTGAAACAGCAAAAAGATCCAACAAAGATAATCCTGGTGTTAATATCTTCTATCTTGACTCGGATGAAGTAGAGGAAGCTATCAACAATTGCTTAAAAAGCAGAAGCGAAAAACTTCGAGTTACAGGTGAGAAAGACTTCTCGTTCTAGTCTCTTACGTATGTACTGATTTAGGTACGATACAAGGTATTCGCAGCATGCATCAGTTCGAGCCAATTAGCCATTCAACGGTTCAATACAGTTCGACGTCTCGATCAACACAGATAAGAACTTTTACATTCAAATAAAACTGCTCTTTGTGTTTTTCTGAATCCATCACATCTTTTTAAAGTCAAACTTGGTGATGAAACTTACTATTCAGATAGATTGGACAACTGTGTTCTTCGCTATACCAGAATTCTTTCGTCTGAAGTTCATCACTTGGGATAGATGTCTTAGCAAAATTCAAGGTCATCAACGCTTCGATAACTTTTCGAAGCAAATAAGAGAAGATTTCTTCGAATTAATTGCATCTAACTCGCATTCACGAAATAGGACTGTTATTATACAAAGAAAAAGTAGTTTATCACATATGATTTTCAAGAAGGCTAGTGTAATTATTACCAAAAAAGATGTTTCTAGACTTGTTTAATATTTATGAGTACTAAAAAATTTCGAAAAAAGAGCTTTTAAAAGAGTTCCAGACGTTTTTCTATCATTTTTCCTATATATAAAAAATGCTGTACGTGTACCTAAAAAACGCTAAAAAACTCGAGGTCTTTCGCAGATAGGACCCAATTTTTTTTTCACCAAAAGTGTTTTCTAACAAAGATCGGATGTTTAAGACGAAAAAAAATTGAAAAAAAAAACCTTTCCAAAACGTGGCTGGATCTCCATGGATTCACCCTATTCTCTTTCGACATGATTCCAACATAGATGTGTACTCGTGCGTTTCTAATGGTAGATGTAACAAAACGTGTTCGAAATATTAATTTATTCTTCAAAAAACGACATGATTTTATTACATAAATCTGCTTATTATATGTAAACGTGTTTTTAACATAGAGACAAAATTATGAATGCAAAAAGTACTTCTGACAAAGGTTTCTGATATTACATATATCAGTAATTATATCTGAGAAAAATTACAATTAATCAGTTTGAAGTGCTTCTAATATCATATAAATTTTCTTATATTACAGCATAGTTTCCATAAATATATCGATAAAACTAATAATTTTCTTTTTATATAGAAGATTTCTTTCTATAAAGAATTTAGAATAGTAAATAATTAATGTTTTTATTGACAAATATTTTTCAAACACCTTCTACGAATTTATTAGTCTTGAACAAAATTCAATCGATTCTATGGATCGATTTTTATTAAAAAACCAACTTCAGGACTTTATCCTGTAAAGATGTCGTAGAAACATAGTATAACAACTAACATCTGAGTCTTGTTATATTTTATGGAACCTCAAAAAAAGTAATCTTATTAACAGATATATAATTGATAAATAGATACTGGGTGCGTAATCAAATGAACAAGTTTCATTTTAAATTCATATTCATAAGATAATTGAAGAATTAGAGAAGAAAAAAGAAACCTTGAGAAGAATGTTGCATTCGGGCACGGGTACTGTAATTAACCATTCAATTGCGATAATGTTTGTTGGAATACTATTTGTAAGCACAAAAAGGAAGAAAATATAGAAAGAGAAAGAGAGAAAAAAAGAAGAAACAGTATGGATGTGTGAGACTATAGCCTTAAAGAGTATATCATGTAAGATTCTTTTCATTCCGATCCATACGTCACTTCAGCCATTGTGACTTAGACACACAACCATATTTCCAAAATTCTCCTTCACAATGTTAAGATAGTTTTTCTGGCAAAATATTTTCAGTTCAATTTTAGGTAAACTTCTTCTCAACGTCTTTTGTCATAAACTTTTATGTGATATCTAAAAAAATAGATTAGCATAGGCATTATCACATAACAGAAACTTCATTTCATTATCTTTCTTATATTTTTAAGTGCAACATAAATATCTCATGAATATCCTCTTCAATTCTCATGTTTTAATTCAATATTGTACTCAATGAAGTAGTCGAAAATACAATAGCATTTTTGAAGAAAAAATAAAAACTACTTGCTGCGAAACAAAATTATTTATATTGATTATTAATGTCTTCGTCAGCAATACTCATCTCGATATCACAATGGTTCGTTATCATAGTTGGTCTTTCTTTTCTATTTTTTGGTCTTATTGGCACACTGACTAATCTATTGATATTCTCGAATCGACGTCTTCGAAAACTACCTTCGACTCAATATATTCTCATTCAATCTGTTTTCAATATTCTCATTCTTAGTTTCGTCCTTTTAAATCAAATACTTGTTACAGGATTTGTTTGGCCTTATTTCTTTACTTTTCGATTCGCCTGTATATCACGTAGTTATATTGCAATATTTTCAACGCAAACATATCTTTATCTCAAATGTCTAGTAACTTTTGATGCATGGGCATCAACATCAGAATCTGTATCAATTCGCCAATGGAGTACTGTTAGACGAGTTCGTCTTCTCATTTTGATCACTGTCATGTTTTGGAGTTTACTTAGTATTCCCTATGCCATTTGGAATAATAATATCCTAGAGAAAAATATCTGGCAATGTTTTTTAGTTGGTGAAATATTTCGAAAATATCATGGATACTTTTTTGTCCCATGTTTAGTTCTATTCATTCCTTTATTATGGCTCAGTTTCTTTGGATATCATACTTATAAACATATAACTCGTTTTAAAAGATGTATTCGTCGTCTAGTACGATTACAGCAACAATTTATTCGTATGATCCTTGCGCAAGTTTTTGTATTGATCATCTCATTAGTACCTTATACTGCACAATACACTTACACAACAATTACAGATAATTGGCAGAAAGATTCTCAATGGTTAGCAATAGATAGTATCATTGTTCTTACCAGTCGCATGTGTTTCTTTTTCAACAATGCTGTTGAATGCTATATTTATATTTGTCTATCAAGTGAAATTCGATCAATTTTCAAACAATTAATATTCAATTTATTACCTATTCGACGACCAAATGTAGTATTACCCATCTGATACTCTTAATGATGAAAATAACATAGTGAATAAGTTGATGTTTTATGTTGTATTTTGCTGTATACGAATATATGTTTTTGAAATACAGACTAAAAACCGAAAAGATCAAAATAAAATCGGTGGAACTTTTATTCAGTATCTGAACGTTATTCCAAATTCTTTCTGAAAACTTTTTTCAAAAAATCATTGGGTATCTCGCTATTTCAATTCTCATTTTCAACGCGATTCTTCAAAGAAATGTCTATCTGTTAACCGGTCTCGCTCCGTTCTTTCACTGATGCCTGTGTAATTTCAAGAGCTCCCCAATGTATATGTCATTTTTTACTTCCTCCAAAGCAAACGTGCGAGTTAACTTTCAATCTGATCGACGTTAATCCATAAATACGAAAAATAGTCGAATTGATAAATGTCCACCTGAATACAAAGACAGCAAATATTTCAAAATCCTCTGCTATGCTTACAAATAATACGGCGCAGTGACCGCTTGCGCTTTACTAAATGTATATCATCAGATCGCTTGTGTTCATCAAAATAAATAAATAAAAACTTTCGCATTCAAATGGTTTACCTATTTCATAATTTGCCCCTGTATTTTACTCATCTTCATTCTTACTTTTAAAGTAGTCACTTGACATGCATTCAATTACTGAAAGGAACTAGATAGAAAGTTTTATTCTATAGTTTGGCATGAAAAGAGCATGCGTCATATTGCTTTATATGTTTACAATACTATTTCTCTACCAGTTGTCTCGATAGTTGATGAGATGGAACTACACTAACGAGCATACCTCTGTGAGACCTATTTCCCCTAAAGTCGTATCGAAATAATTGACGTATCGCAGCTCACAAGACCAATATGACGTTAAGTATATAGTATTCTGTCTGATTTCTTGAATTGCAAACACCATAATGCAAGGTATACTAAATCTTTTTTTGCAGAGGCCTAAACCAGTATCTTCGCATACGTCGTGTTTAGGAATGGCGTCTCATCTACTAGCTTCCACTCAGGAATTTAGAAAAGATACAGGAAAATATCTTTTCCAGAAAGAAAAAGGAATCAGAAGCATCTTGGTGAGTAACGAAAAGCTAACCTCAAATTTGAGTTCTTTGATATCGCTAACCCTTCGGTCAGCTCTTACTCTACAACCGAAAAGTTTTTCGCTACTTAATTAGTAATTAGCTAATTGAAGTTTTAAAAAACTAACATCGAATTCGTGATCCTCCACCTTGGTTACCTCAGGTGAATCATTTCTGGATGGTCATCACTTAGATTTCATCAGTTTATAAAAAAAACTGCAATCTGGTTGGATTGGGCAAACTCACAAACTTCTAGCTTTTGAGCCATCGATTTTAGAGCGCTATAACCCTTTCTTTCACAAAAGGGAAATATAGGAAAAATATCAACGTATAGGTATCAGAAAAATTCGAATAAACGGTATGTGAGAAAATAAAGGCATAGCTTACTATGTAGTATTATAAACTACTGAATACACTGGGTATGTTTCCACAATTTATGAATACTGATCATTTACGGCATCAACATAATAAAAGTACTTAGTAGACTATTTCTACTCACTTTTGGTTGATTCAAAACCTATATCGTTCTCAAATGTTGAGAAATACTCCATGTGGTATATATACCACGCCCGTCTCCAAAGGGTTAATACCAATACCATTACTAGTCTATATCAGTACTTTGAATACGACCTCAAGACCAATACTCTATGCCAAGTTTTAGTGTTGGTGCATTCCTATCAGAGATGTTTTGAGAAAAAAAATTATAAAAGGAGAAGAAATAAAGAAAAAATGCAACAGTAGAATTCGTCATGAGAACGAACATAATAATCAACGAAAAACTAAAAAGCGACAAGAAAAAAGAAAGTAGATGTATATATATATATGTCGCAGGAATAATTGAGATTCAGGAAAATCTAAGATTGCCCTAGAACAAATTGGAATTTTAGTTTTTCCTAGGATAATCTTAGATTTTCCTGAATCTCAATTATTCCTGCGACCTATATATACGTGTGTAGAGATCAAGGAAAACAACTCTATAGCAATTAGCGTCATGAAGTAATATCCAATAACGCTAAAATGCGTCTATTTTTATTCTATACTAACGGTTTTTTTATGTAAAAACTTCTTCAGGCATTGTCAATACAAGATAAACAGGACATCAATTAGATAAAAACATTTAAGAGAAATTCAGCGATGTTCATTCAGTATTCTTATGAGATTTTCGTATAAGCACACAAAATTGGAGCTCTGAAAAAACACAGCGAAACTAGCAAATTAATATGGTAGTTGAATCAATAGAAACAACTGTTCATAGAATTTTTAATTACACACAAAATTTGATAACGCATCATAAAAATAATCTTTTTGATTTTTTCGTTTGAATGTTAATAATGTATCGCAATACATTAATGTTATTGAGGAATATTTTTGTTCTAATTCGCATGGCTTTCTAAGACGCTCACCACTGTCAAAGAATCCTACCGACAGAATGCATCCAGCTAAAACAAGCGATCTTTTGCCTCAACAAACAGAAGGCAATTAAGGATATAAAAAAACTCTCTTCAATTATGTCTTTCAGACCAAAGTGTTTTTTTCGGCGAGTCAAACAGTCGATGTTTGCGGAACTGATTTCTATCAGAAAGAGATTAAAAAATAGATTATTTCTCTGCCTTCTCAGAAAAAAAAAGTAGAAGTATATAAATGCACGAAAGGGAAAATTATTTCATTCTGTTGAGTATACTCAATCAAAGTAACGTATTCACTTCGGTATAGTTTACCACGAAACAAATAAATTTTTAAGAAAACAATGAACCAGTCTGGATATAATTCTGATTACGAAGATGTATACAAGTCGCCTGTTCTTTGGATGTGGCTTCTGGCTGTTTTCATTGGACCCTCAGTCGTTTGCTATGTCTTTCTGCTCTATCATTTTTTTGCCATACGAACTCTTCGTCAAGGGATCAATAATCATATTGTTATCGTTGTTCTCATTCTGGGCCTCATGTACACTCTCATTGACATTGCTAGTTCAATAACATATTATCGTTTACATCGTCAGGTTTGGCCACAATCACCAGCATTTTGTTATTTCTGGCTGTGGATTGATTATGGAGTATTCAATACAATCACCGTTTTATTAGCATGGGGTTCATTTGAAAGACATATTCTTGTCTTTCATCACCAGTTAACGAATACTCGTTTCAAGCGCATTATTTTTCATTACATACCTATGTATTTTATTCTCACGTATATGACCCTGTATTATACCGTGCTAGTATTTTTCTATCCATGTCAAAATGATTGGGATTACAACTGGGCTGTTTGTGGAGTGGATGGATGTTATCATGAGAATGTGATTATAGCCTATTTCGAACTTTATTTCCATGGTATCATACCCATGATAGCAATCACATTGTTCAATATTGCATTGCTGATTCGTGTCATGTGTCATAAACGAACGGCTCAACAACGAGTTGCATGGAAAAAGTATCGTAAAATGGCTTTTCAATTGCTCAGTATTGTGGCACTTTATCTATCCATCAATTTCCCATTATCTGCTATTGACATGTTGAGTTTAGTCGGAATCAATGTCGAAGGTCAAGTATCGCGTATTATATCGTTTCTCGGATATCACACTATTATGTTTTTACCATTTGTATGTCTCGCAGGCTTGCCGGAAGTTTGGAAAAAAGTAAAAGGTATTTTTCATATAACTACAGCACAAATAGCACCGTTCCAAACTCAACCAAACAATAACCACTGAATATTACAGAAAAAGTGTCAGAAATGAATTGAGAAAACTGTAGAATGGACAGAGTCGTTCATATTTTTCTTCGTTGTGATCTATGAAATTTAAATAAAAATTGACATCGATTAAAAAAAAGTTTCAACTACAGGAGAAAAGAAACGAATAAATAGTTGATTTTTTCCCTTTATTAGGTGAATTTTCAATATTACTTATGAAATCCTTCAGATAACGATGTCCTTTTTTTGTTATGTAAAAACTGTGATAGTTAGACCCTATCAGTACATGTTGAGGGTGTGTGAGAGTGGGTGTGAGTATCTTCTTGTTCTATACTTTTACCTACACTCTAACTCTTACCCAAAGCAATAGCTCAATGTCGTATTTAGAATGCAGAGAGTGCGTTTAAAACTGCACCAAAACTCTTTGGTCAGTCATATACAGTACATGTACATAATGACTTTTCTATGAAAACAGTATTATTTGCAGCTTTGGGAGACAAATGTGAAGCTACTCATTTGAGACGGCAGCATACGACACCTTTCGAATACTTTTTCCTCAATCAATGATATTATTCTGTCATTTTCATTTTGCAAAGAACATCATGAAGCATTTGAAAAAAATGCGTAAGTTAGTGCATGCATATCTAAACAAATATATGCACATGAATTATTTCTGCAGACTTTTTTCATCCGTAGAAGAAAATGATCTTATTGAATTTTTAAAGCGGTCCATTATTAACATTGAAACATAAGCTGAAAGATCTTTGGAACAATATTACACGTACTAATCGATCGTCAAGTCATCTTTTCATAAAGAAAAAATCGCTGAAATCAACACTGACTGACATAGCGTCACTTCGTACAACTGCAACAATTGCTACTAATACGACGCACACAAAAATATAACTTCTTAGTACTGATTCTTTTTACTATCTCGTATAAGCTGTTGGGTATGAATACTAAATGGAATGTACCTGTTCTGACTATTCAGCAGCGTTTGGTTTTTTGATTATCTTTCAGGTTTAAATAGTAACGAGTAGAATTCTCGATATTTACTATTCCTTGTAATTGTAAAAACTCCTTTAATTTCGCCTCAATTCGTTTTGGTGTCTGTTTCAGAGAATATTTCTTAGCGATTTTGAAGCAATTTTTCGAAAGAAAATCGATTGTCAGATTAGGCATATTTCTCCAAATAATCGGGTTATGCGAACGAATCTGTGCCAGTTCTACAGCAACATATGCAAAATCGCTGGCTTGGACACAAATATATTTCATGTGATCAACTGTAAGAACATCTCCTTAAAATGACTATCTTTCACCTCGTTAGTCATTTGTGTTCATAATTCACAGGAAGGTACTCCGCTGTGACCAATTGTTTCGTCAATGCATACACCGACAACCAGCATTTCTAAATTTCTCGATCAATTACTTCGACCGTTGTTTGATAAACACGTTCGTTCAACAATAAATATTGACGATGTTGATCTCATTCGCTGTCTCGAAGTATATGCCGCAAATGACTATTTGGAACCAACAACTTTATTCCACCTGATGCCATTCGGAAATTAGCTCATCTGATTTTGACAGAAAAATGTGTTTACGTATGATAAGAAATTCCATCGACAAGTAGTCGATGATGCAATGGGATCAGCTTTTACTCGAACTTTGGCCAATATCTTTATGTGGAAATGGGAAAAACCGTTTGTCCTTTATCAAACAAGTTCAAATGAAACTTATGGTCGGCACGTTTACCTTTTGATTTAAGTGCTATACCAGCAACTTATCTATCTCATTGCTCTTTACTACAGATAGATTGATGACATCATCTGTACATCGAACGAATCTTTCGATAAAATCAATCGAATGTTAGATGAAGCCAACTTATTTCGTCCCAATATCAAATTAGTGCGTCAAATTGGCTCAAGCGTATCATTTTTCGATGTTCAGATCGAAAATAAAAGTGGCACATTGCTAACATCAGTTCATCACAAAGAAGCAGCAGAACCGTATGTGATAACATTTACACCTAATCATCCAAAGCATGTATTCACGAATGTCAGCTATACGGCACTTTTACGAGCCATTCGATATTCTTCAACATTATCAACATTTGAAAGTGAACGATGCTCCATCAAATTAATGTTGTTGTATAACGGGTAAGATAAACGTACCGATTTCTCAATCTAATCATTCTCTTATTCACAATTTGTAGGCATTCACCCCGATTCATTCAATACATTCTTTGCTGTCAATGAAGCAAATCAAAATGTGACCATTATCATATACAATGATGATGATTTTCGCAATAAACACCAAGCGCCATTACATAGACTAACTATTCCAGAAATGGCTGTCCAATCAAGGATATCAAGAGCAGCATATAGTAACAATGAAAACTCTACATATAATCAAATGAATCCATCAAATAATAACCATCTATCTAAATGGAATACTAATATCATTGTCCGTTACACTTATGAAAATCGATTAGCGGGCTGCAAAAAAGATATCCATCAATTTTGGGACCAACACTTTCAGCACACTTCCGTAGTCAGCGCACGCCTGACAATAGATAATGCAATCAAAAACTTCCTCACTATATATCCTTGTATATATACGTACTCGTTTCTTCTATGCGCCTCCGATTCATCATACTAAGCTACTAAAGTTGACAATTACTACGATCATTTAAGTGATTACATAGTCTAGTACCAACTGAGGAGACCCTTGAGCAAGATCGAAACGCGTCTTGATTTTGCTTTGGCACCCTCACCCTCAAGACATTAATTTATGCATGTGGAAGAATTCAAGTTACGACTTATATATATTCTCATGCACGTAGATTTTCCGAAAAAGTAAACAACGAAATGAAAAAAAGGGACATAATTCAACTTTAGAAGATCAATAAAAACTTTTCTCGCTGACATCTGATACTATTGATACTTGTGATCCATCAGCATGTGATTTTGGCACCAGTTGCCTTATTTCATATTCATAGATATTTGGTTTTGAACCGTGTAATTGTTGGTGTTCTTCATATTCTTGTTTTTCGATTTGTTTACGAATTGTTAACCGATTAGATGAATTAGAAAGATGTTTGTTTACTGTTATATTGCCGTTTTTGCAAACAGTTCGAAAGAAATCGGATGTTAATAATTTCTCAATTTCATCGTCATCAATATGCCCTTCATCATGTGGTTGAATTCTAGACAATGTCGATTGAAGATTAAGAGAATTCGTATCAGATATTGAATCAATCTTTAGTTGTTCAGCTGGTACGTATATTGTGTTAATACTACAATGAGACGAACCAATTGGAATAGTCTCACTATCTAATGAATTAGTATCCAACAATGGAATTTTTTGTTCTACCATTGGTTCGAACAACAATGTACTACCAATCTTTTCACTCTGTATCTTTTTTCTTGGTGAATTATGATCGGATTCTAAACCGTAACGATAGTTTTTGCTTCGTTTATTTTGACCTATAGAGAAAAAAGTTTTCTACAGATAATATTTCTCATATGAGAAAATTAGACTTACATGAAACACAGGAAAATGTGGATGACATAATAGTACGAAATAAAGAAGAAAGTAATGGCATGCTGGCAATAGGCAAAAACAAAGAAATGTGCCAAATTTGTAGTCTTCTTATACTTTTGTATTTGTTTAAAGCAATGCTTTTACACGTGTAGTTTATTGATGAAAATATTTCATACAAAGAAAAAAAGAAAAACTTCATTCGTTTTTTTTACTTAGTAGAAAAAAGACGTTGAGAGTCAACACAAAGCAGTAAATCGAAGGATAACGAGAAAAATAATAGAAGGAGCATGATGACGTGACTTGTTTGTGTATATAACTAAATAATAAGATATACGACGTACATTATTGACTGATAATAACTATATAGCGATAATAAGAAAAACTGGGTAACCTTCCCGGAAAGATTGCTTTAACCATAGGTGACCTAGAAGATATAGGTTTTGCTACTACTCAATAATTTCATGTCCTTATTACTGGTCGACGTCAAGATGCTCTTGATGATACGCTAACAAAACTTGGCAGTAATAAAATAACTGCAATCAAAGGTGATGTATCGTATATGGACGATTTCGACAAACTGTGCGATGTGGTTAAAAAAAGAAAAAGGATATTTAAACATTGTTTTTGCTAATGCCGGTGCATACGAAGTAGTACTGTTAGATTCTATAAACGACTCATATTTTGATCGTTTGTTTAATACTAGTGTCAAAAAAATGTGATTTATTATTCAAAAAGCATTACCAATACTAATAGATGGTGGATCGATTATCTTGAATGTATCTATTCTTACTACGAAAGTATTTCCTTATCATAGTGTTTACAGTGCTACAAAGGTTGCTAGTCGTTCTTTTGCTCGTTGTTGAGCAATTGATTTGAAAAATTCACAAATTCGGGTAAATGGTTTGAGCGCAAAACCAACAGAGACCTCAGCAATCAAAAATATTGTTAATGCTGAAGAGAAAAGAAGAAAATCTACGCCTCGTTAGACGATCTTACAGTACTACGTAGAATGTGGCTTCTTCTATCTCGATTCTTGAGACTCACTATAAAAAGTTTGTCTTCTGCCGAGATAGTCTTGTAATTCATGCAATGATCGAATTTTTCTTTCATTGCCGTTTTCATAGCCAATTCCATATCAGATGATGCATTTCGATTCAAATAATGACGAAGTGATTCAAGAACTACATACGTGAAACCGAATGATGGATATTTGCTGGTCGATAACATCTCAGTCGCTTCAGCAAAGTATGAAAGACATTCAAACAGCATAGAGAGAATTATACCCATTCTTCATTCGGCGATTTCAAATTAATTAGATGTGCTTGTTTCTTGACTGAGACTCCGTTGATTTGAGAGAGATTTCGGTAGATGACAGGCAAGATGGATTGATATAAAGATGAATTATTCGTAGTGTAAAGTTTTAAACTGATGTATTTGACGGATTCGTTTCTTTTTTGAATATTTCATTTGTTTTTTAGAAATGAGCGTGAATGAAGGAGTTGTTGACTTATAACGATAAAAGAAAGAGAAGAGATGAAATAAATTCTTATTTAAGTAGATAATCAACAAGATATGCTGACAAAAACAATGTTCCTCTTTTATGATATTCTTTAAGAATTGAAAGTTGGAAAAAATGTTCTGACGTGCGTGAGATGATTTATAACGTGAAATCTATTCAAGTAATTCGGTTAAGAGTGAGCATAAGTGGTTACCCTCATTCCTATTTTAAATTTTCAAAATACCATTTGCAAACGAATTCCAATCCTTGCGAAGTATTACATTTCGGTTGGTATGATAGAATATTTTTAGCTTTTTCGATAGAAGCTTGAGAATGTGGAATATCTCCCAGTCGTTCAATACCATAGATAGGTTTAATATCAGCAATAATTGGATCATAACAAGAAAGATTAGAGCGTAAACTGGTAAATAATTCATTTAATGTTGTTTTTCCGCCAGATGCTACATTGATTATTATATTTATCTGAGTAATCTTAGGTGAGTTTTCATTTGTATTTAATCGTTCAAGAATAATATTAGTGGAAGTTACCATAGCAAGTTCATTAGCTTGTATAACATTATCAATGTAGGTAAAATCTCGAGAATAACTTCCATCACCATTGATTATTGGTCGTTCATGTTTGATCAAACATTTGATAAATAATGGAATCACTGCTGCATAAGAACCATTTGGATTTTGTCGTTTACCAAAAACATTAAAATAACGTAATCCAATTGTTTCAATTCCATATAAGTTGGTGAATATTTGTGCATAAAGCTCGTTAACATATTTAGTAATTGCGTAAGGTGACAATGGTTTACCAATATTTTCCTCAACTTTTGGTAATTCTTTTGAATCTCCATATGTTGATGATGAAGCTGCATAAATAAATCGTTTTACACCGGCATCGCGTGCAGCAACAAGCATGTTTAAGAAACCATCAATATTTACTGAATTTGTGGTAATAGGATCATCTATTGAGCGTGGTACACTTCCTAACGCCGCTTGATGAAAAACATAATCAACATTCTGAACGGCTTTTCGACACGTCTCAATATTTCGAATATCGCCTTCAATAAGTTCAAATGATGAATTGAGTAAAAACGACTCAATATTATGACGATATCCTGTAGAAAAATTATCTAGACAGATTACTTGATGATTTTGAAGAAAGTATTCACAAAGATTCGAACCAATAAATCCTGCGCCACCTGTAATCAATATTTTCATTTTAAATTAATCTAAAATATGAAGAAGTCATTTTTATTAACAGAAAGAAAAAAATGATAAAATTATAATCGTCCATCAACAATATCTTTTGGTAAAATTCCTTTAACATCGTAAAGAACTTTATTAGCGGTTGACATTGAAGAAAAATCATACAAAGAAAATTCTTGATGAGCTACTGCAATAATAACTGTATCATAATTTTCAATAATTATTTTCTTATTAATCATCTGAAATTCATTTGTAGATTTAAGAGTAATTTTATATTCATTATAAACTTTTTCTGAATCTGCCCATGGATCAACAACATCCACGAGACAACCAAATTCTATTAATTTATTAATAATATCAATAACTTTAGAATTTCGAATATCATGGCAATTTTCTTTAAAAGTTATACCTAAAATTAATATTTTTGCACCATTAATTTGTATATTTTTACGTATCATTAATTTAATAACTTGTTCAACAATAAAACATCCCATACTATCATTCATGCGACGTGCGCTTGAGACAATTTCTGGATAATAGTTTAATTGACAAGCTTTATGTATTAAATAATATGAGTCAATACCAATACAATGACCACCAACTAATCCTGGTTCATATGGAATAAAATTCCATTTTGTTCGAGCAGCTTTTAATACTTCATGAGTATCAAGATTCATCAATCGAAAAATACGTGTTATTTCATTCATAAGAGCAATATTGACATCACGTTGAACATTTTCAAGCATTTTCGCTGCTTCTGCTACTCGAACAGATGGTGCTACGTATGTACCTGCTGGAATTATTTCTTGATAAAGTTCATTTATTTCTTGACTAATCGCAGGTGTTGAACCTGAAATAATTTTACAAACATTACTCAGTTGATGATTTTGATCTCCGGGATTGATACGTTCAGGTGAATATCCACAAAAAAAGTTTTCATTATATTTTAAACCGCTTATTCGTTCTAAAATTGGAACACATTCATCTTCTGTTACACCAGGATAAACAGTTGATTCGTATATAACTATATCGTCCTGTTTTAAAATTTTTCCAATCATTTCTGATGATTTCAATAGATTTGACAAATCAGGTTGGCGTTGTGCATTAACTGGTGTTGGAACAGCAACTATAAATATTTGCGCCGAACGAAGATCATCTAATGAATAAGAATATTGAAGAAATTCAACACATTTTAAGTTTTCGCTTGAAAATTCATTTGTAGAATCATGACCAAGTTTAAGTTCATTTATTCGATCTTTGTTAACATCGAAACCAATTGTCGGACGATATTTTCCGAATTCAATACTTAAAGGAAGTCCAACATAACCTAGACCTATGACAGCAATAGTTTTCATCTAAAAAAATGTCGAACCATCATATTATATTTCCTTAATTCAATGAACCCTTGAGGAATCTTTCGCAGCTTTTAACTCGACTACAATAACACTCACTAGAAAATTTTACAGTATAGTAAAGAAGAAGAATCTATCTGTGATGTATGTAGCTTTATTGTCGATAAAACACCATCATCCAAATCAAACCACACGTATATATACATGTAGATAATATATGTGTGAGGATGGAAGAGGGAAAGCATGGAATGAGCGAGGAGTGAAGAGGAGAGAATGGAATGAAAGAGATGTAAGTATCTCCAGAAGGAGAAGAATCATGGACGAACTCCATAACACTATCGAAATAATACTCATTAACTCGTATTCCTATCACATGGATGATTCAAGGATACGTTTTATTTAATAAGGAAAACAAAAAAATATATTACAATGACGCAGAACGAAGCAAACAGGATGGTTGGATAATTATACGATATTGATATACGCTATTACCACTGAGTGATAATATTTTTTTTCTCGAGTCAACAGAGTACGATATATGCACTCATTCAAGAGTATTCTTCTTATCAATCTATTTTGAGTATTAGTATTCATTTTATACCCTCATTTCAATAGAGGGCATTCGATTACATCGAAAGAATATGGAGACAAATAACTTGGTTACACGTGTTTCATCAATATGATAAGGTGTTTCGGTAAAAATCGTTCGACTCAATGAGTGCAAAGACGGTTATATGGCTATGATTGGTGCAGTTGTGCTATGAATTGTCATAAAAATAGTTCTTTTTGAATATAAACTTCATCCATAATGTCTTTGTGAAACAAGGTTGTATTTAACCTTTTGTAGTGCGTATTTCGTAGTCCTTGACAGACGTTGTTGAGAAGAAATAATGCACTCTTCGTTCTGGCTAAAACTAATAGGTTTTTCTTTTTTGAAAATCTCAACGAAATGAAACTTTGTATTAAATCTGCTCTTATGAAACCACTGTTTCTCAAAATATATTTCGTAAAATAACTATGAAAAATAATAATCACATATTTTCAAAATCTTGTCTGATGCAAAGAAATGCGACACTAACTCGAGTCGTATACCTCGTACCAGAAGCGTTTCTCATCAGAGTCACTCATTCAATATTATCATCTAATTACGTCTTTGATGTTCTTGAACCTGACTTTCATAAGTGTATATTAAGAAAATTCGATGTTAGATTATAAATCAAAAAACAAATTAACTCATATTCTTTTGGATACTAGCCAATTTGCTAGTCTCGACTTTTGCTTCTCAGCAATCGATCAAATATCAACATATATGTAAGTTTAATTGATGTGCTTTTGAAAATCAGTTAATAAGAGAAATGCAGAGAGTTTAATTTCGCCGACGCGTTTCGGGTTATTTATTAAAATTTAAACACTCATCAGGGCTCTGCATAAGCACCAAATTGAAAAAATGTGTTCGAGAAAGGAAAAAAAACAGAAGAAGGCGCATTATTAATTTAGTAGTTTGAACAAACTATCTTGGCTTGGTTTCAAATCAAATATTAATGTTACACTATGAGTAAATAAGAAAAATTTTTTAAATCACTAAATGTACAGATAGTTGATCTAATGTATTTGATGGTTTCGGTTAATTGGCCACGTGCCAAACGATATGTTGAGATTTTCAAATTACTGGCTGTTTTCATTTTTAATGAATAGCAATAATTAAATATAAACCATTCACCGAACCAAATCTTCGTGCAATTTAATAGTAATTCAAGAAATCGAATTTTGGAATCCGAAGTAACAATGTAAGAAGGTATTTATCCTTGATCAAAATAAATTCGAATAACATACCAATTTGTCTAGTAAATTTTTCAGTCCATGTATGTCTACTGTTTGAAATCCAACGGCTTGGAAAAGTTGGGAAAATGACCAATGATAAAAATTCATAATATTTATCTAATAATAGTAAATATGAAACCGACTGTTTAGTAAAATCCAAATCATATTGATAATAGAGCCAGTTTGAAAGATCAGCAATCATAAAAAGTTGGCAAAATGCCAAATGATATGTGTGACTTCAATGTTTTCAAATAATTGGCCATGGAACATTAATATCAATTGTTTATTATTCTTTATCCACGAGCATCGAATTTAGAGATTCTGGACGATTGGCAGAATGCCAAATGATCAAAGAAATGTATTTTTGTAAATAACGTGAAACGCTTTCAGCATAATACCCTACGGGATTAAAAATGTGAAACGCGATCGACCTGCTACAATAAGGATAATAATGATTTGTACGTAATATTTTTGTTTGATATTGTTGATTGAGAAACGCAGGAAACATTCTATACGGGTGTTGTTCAAAGAAAATCGTTTAGTTTGAATATAGGACGTTTGATTTATTGAAATTTGAAAGGCTGAAGACGGGATGTTTCATTGGAGATAAAAGATGATTCAACTGTTTAGTCAATTGAGAGAGAACGGATTTCTGTTTCGAGTTTGATATTTTATTATCAAGAAAAAACGAAACGATTATTTAAGGAGATTAGAGAAGCTCGAAAAATGTTTCAACGAATAATTGTTTTAGATTTGAATACTATGGATTTCAATATTTATGACAGTTTTATTTTTTGAATTTTACATAATTGAAAGACTAATTGATGATAATGTTAATAAAACTGATTCTTTTCCCAACAAATCTTCTTCTGATAAATGAGTGTGATTGCATTGTTCTAATAGTTGTTTGATTTTTGTTTTTCAATGATCAATTCCACCGATTTATCATCAGATGTATTAATAGTTTCTTTCAATCGATTCTCTTCGACATCGTTTTTGGTGATATATCTCGTCTTACATCGCTTACATTTCACACTTCTTTCAGTTATTTCAACTTCTTTAGAATAACACTTCGCACACACCGGTTGTTGTTTAATTAATCCGATTGAAACGATGTTGCCAATTACATTTATATCGTGATCAAATTCAACAACTTCAGACGTTTGCACCCGAGCTGAGCACAGGACAGGATTCATCGCCCGTCCTGCCGTGCGGCATGATAAGTTGTTACAAATTTTACTTTAAAGCTCCTACACGACTTCTAGTAATTCATAGCGACCAATATTCCTATTTCTACCATAGAGGTCACTCACAGACAGTCACATACTCTGTGACTATAATTCGTCGAGATGCACACGAGTGTTGCATCATTTACAGAAACAAACTAACTATACGTTAAATGTTAAATATAGACTGATAATAGTCAACAGTCGACTATTCCTCTCGTCCATATGTACAAGTATTCCTTTACAACACGTCGATTGTTTGTTTTCAGATTTGTATTAAATTCAAAGAAAGTGAATTATGGATGTAACATATGCCTCTTCATTAAATGAATTTCCTTTGAATTCGGAAAAAAAATCAAACAATTACTCCGATCAGATGTTAAACTTTACAAAGTAATAAAAAAACGAATCATCATCTGGAGCAACGTGGTGGAACATATTTGGATTTCCTGCTAAATTAAATGAAAATAATGAATATCAACGAATCGTCGGACATGCTAGTTGTTTTAAGTGTTTTCAAACGGGTGAGGGTGAGGGTGTGGGTGTGTATATGTATAAGTAAAACTAAATCTATTTCTATTCCTATCTACTCATTTGTTATAAGTGTGATATCGGTATCTATTTATATTCGAATTGATACTAGCCTGTTGGGGGTCGACTTATAATATAAGTCGAATTAGGCATCTCATGTAGAAAGCACATATTATGTGCAATTACTTCTGTCTTCGATATTATTTAATCATTTATTGAGTAGTGAGATGCTTTTCGTTGAAACAATCAAGACACAAAAATTTCGCACAATAAGGGCAAAAGGTTTTAACTTTCTCTGGTGTCGCGTGGCTAATCCAGAAAACTAACTCCACTAAGTGTGCTAGTGTTCTCTTCTGTATCGTTTACTTCTAATGACATGTCAACAAGTCGGAAACTTCCGCTATTTTTATACGTAAAACTACAGATAGAAGGATATGTAAGAAAAAAATTGAAAACTTCGCTCTGACTCGTAATATTACATGCCATGATATGGAGAAGAGAACAGCGACTCACCCATATATAATATCGACAAGACACTATGTGCATTTATTAGAAGTTAATTATTGAGAAAAATGAATATTTCCAAGATTTTCTCCATGAAAACTGAATCGTGCTGAATGTGTTAATATACAAAATTATGACAACACGTAATAAAGATATATAAGAACGAACAAATAATCACAACCTATAACTCTGTGTTTTACTGAAATAAATCAATTTCTTCGTGATGTAATTTGACGAGTTATAACTAGTGGTTGGTCTGTTCGTTTAGCAGTGAATAATTTCATAAATTCGTAACGAAACAGCTTACTCGATAAAATGAAAAGATAAAAACTTAAACATGGAACTGCAAGAGAAATCAGACCAGCAATATTATAGAATAAATTGTCTTTGGCTGCCTGAAGAGCATCGATTATTATATTTGACCGTACTGATGTATAAATNATGGAAGAGGAGAGAGAATGGAATGAAAGACATGTAAGTATGTTCAGAAGGAGGAGAATCATGGACGAACTCCATAACACTATCGAAATAATACTCATTAACTCGTATTTCTATCACATGGATGATTCAAGGATACGTTTTATTTAATACGAAAAACAAAAAAATATATCAGAATGACGCAGAACGAAGCAAACAGGATGGTTGAATAATTATACGATATTAATATACGCTATTATCACTGAGTGATAATTTTTTTTCTGCAGTCAACAGAGTACGATATGTGCACTCATTCAAGAGTATTCTTCGTATTAATTTTATACCCTCATTTCAATAGAGGGCATTCGATCACATCGAAAGAATATGGAGACAAATAACTTGGTTACACGTGTTTCATCAATATGATAAGCTGTTTCGGTAAAAATCGTTCGACTCAATGAGTGCAAAGACGGTTATATAGCTATGATTGGTGCAGTTGTGCTATGAATTATCATAAAAATAGTTCTTTTTGAACATAAACTTCGCCCATAATGTCTTTATGAAACAAGGTTGTATTTAACCTTTTGTAGTGCGTATTTCGTAGTCCTTGACAGACGTTGTTGAGAAGACATAACGCACTCTTCGTTCCGGCTAAAACTAATAGATTTTTCTGAAGCTTTGCATTAAATCTGCTGTTATGAAATCACCGTTTCTCAAGATATATTTAGTAAAATAACTATAAAAACAAAATAATCACATATTTTCAAAATCTTGTCTGATGCAAAGAAATGCGACACTAACTCGAGTCGTATACCTCGTACCATAGAAGCATTCCTCACCAGAGTCACTCATCCTAGAAAATATTTGAGACGCATTCAATATTATCATCTAATTACGCCTTTGATGTTCTTGAACCTGACTTTCATAAGTGTATATTAAGAAAATTCGGTGTTAGATTATAAATCAAAAAACAAATTAACTCATATTCTTTTGGATACAAGCCAATTTGCTAGTCTCAACTTTTGCTTCTCAGCAATCGATCAAATATCAACAGGTATGTAAGTTTAATTGATGTGCTTTTGAAAATCAATTAATAATAACAGAAATGCAGAGAGTTTGATTTCACCGAAGCGTTTCGGGTTATTTATTAAAATTTAAATACTCATCAGGGCTCTGCATGTAAGCACAAAATTGAAAAAATGTGTTCGAGAAAGGAAAGAAAACAGAAGAAGGCGCATTATCAATTTACAAGTTTGAACAAACTATCTTGACTTGGTTTCAAATCAAATATTAATGTTACACTATGATTAAATAAGAAAAATTTTTTAAATCATTAAATGCACATATAGTTGATCTAATGTATTTGATGGTTTTGGTTTATTGACCACGTGCCAAACGATATGTTGAGATTTTCAAATTATTGACTGTTTTCATTTTTAATGAATAGCAATAATTAAATATAAACCATTCACCGAACCAAATCTTCGTGCGATTTATAGGAAATCAAGAAATCGAATTTTGGAATCCGAAGTAATAATGTAAGAAGGTATATATTCTTGATCAAAATAAATTCAAATAGCATACCGCAGTTTGTCTAATAAATTTTTCAGTCCATGCGTTTCTACTGTTTGAAATCTGATGGCTTGGAAAAGGTGGAAAAATGACCGATGATAAAAATTCATAATATTGATCTAATAATAGTGAATATAAAATCGACTGTTTAGTCAAATCCAAATCATATTGATAATAGAGCCAATTTGAAAGATCAGCAATCATAAAAAGTTAGCAAAATGCCAAATGATCAAAGAAATGTATTTTTGTAAATAACGTGAAAAGCTTTCAGCATAATCCCTTGTGGAATTAAAAATGTGAAACGCGATCGACCAGCTACAATCAGGATAATAATGGTTTGTACGTTATATTTTTGTTTGATATTGTTGATTGGCAAACGCAGGAAACATTCTATACGGGTGTTCTTTGAAGGAAATCATTTAGTTTGAATGTAGGACGTTTGATTTATTGAAAATTGAGAGACTGAAGACGATTCAACTGTTTCGTGAATTGGAAGAAAACGGATTTCTGTTTCAAGTTTGATATTTTATTATCGAGGAAAAAAACGAAACGATTATTTAGGGAGATTAGAGAAGCTCGAAAATATTTCGACGAATAATTCTTTTAGATTTGAATATTTTGTATTTCAATATTTATGACAGATTTTATTTTTTGAATTGTACATAATTGAAAGACTAATTGATGGTAATGCTAATAAAGCTCATTCATTTCCGAACAAATCTTCTTCTGATAAATGAGTGTGATTGTATTGTTCTAATAGTTGTTTGATTTTTTTGTTTTTCAATGATCAATTCCACCGATTTATCATCAGATGTATATCTCCCGTCCTGTCGTGCGGCATGATAAGTTGTTACAAATTTAACTTTAAAGCTCCTACACGACTTCTAGTAATTCATAGCGACCAATATTCCTATTTCTACCATAAAGGTCACTCACAGACAGTCACATACTCTGTGACTATAATTCGTCGAGATGCACATGAGTGTTGCATCATTTACAGAAACAAACTAACTATACGTTAAATGTTAAATATAGACTGATAATAGTCAACAGTCGACTATTCCTCTCGTCCATATGCACAAGTATTCCTTTACAACACGTCGATTGTTTGTTTTCAGATTTGTATTAAATTCGAAGAAAGTAAATTATGGATGTAACATACCTATATCTCTTCACTAAATGAATTTCCTTTGAATTCGGAAAAAAAAATCAAACAATTACTCCGATCAGATGATAAACTTTACAAAGTAATAAAAAAAACGAATCATCATCTGGAGCAATGTGGTGGAACATATTTAAATGAAAATAATGAATATCAACGAATCGTCGGACATGTTAGTTGTTTCAAGTGTTTTCAAACGTTTTATTATTCTTCAAAAAGTGGAGCAACTCGTTTAAAAGCCCATGAAATAAACTGTAGATCAGTTGCTACATCGTCAATATTTCCATTAGCTTCTCCAATTGAAACTGATCACTCTTCTTCTTCTTCCTCGTCGGCACAAAGCATTCTTACACAGCATAGATTTCTACAACTGCAAAAATTAAATGAAAAAGATGTTGAACATATGACATTAATATGTACTCAGTGGATCAGTACAGATATTCGTCCATTTTCAATCATGCAAGATTCAGGATTTCTTGATATAGCCCAAGAATTAATTCGAATTGGTGTGTTATTTTGTCTTATTTTGATTGCATCGCAATCAATACTATTTCCAATTATTTTTCAGGACACAAATATGATTTAATTGATATCAATACTGTTTTGCGAAGTCGTCACACTTTATCTCGAAACGTGCATGATCTTGCAAATCGATTCAGAGAATGTATAAAAAATAAACTACGCGAACCACTGCAATATCATTCTGTGACCATATGTCCAGACTTTTGGAGTGATCCGTATAGAAACATCTCGTATCTAGGACTGAATATATGTTTTGTTGATGCTCAACATCGTTTTTCTTCAATAGATTTATTTTGTCGACCTTTTCTTGGTAAAAAATCTGCTGATGTAGTTGTAAAAGTAAGGATATTCTTTCAATATATAGTCTTTTGCCTTTTGATTTTGTAGGTCCTTGAATCTCATTTAAGCGAATTCGGTATTAATAATTTAGCTATGGTGAATATAATATCCGATCGAGGATCAAATTTTGATAAAGCTTTTGAACCATTTAATCCTCTATTTGGCTTTGGTCATCGACTGAACAACGTATTCAAGGCAGCATTTTTTCATCACGAAAAGAAGAAAACAGATAACAAACAGTCATTGAGAAGTATCTTGAGTAATGATATTGCAGTTGAAGCAAAACTTGTACTTTCTACATTGAAACAATGTAAAAAATTGTCAGATATATAAAAAAAAGTTCGTACAATGAATTTGTAATATTTATTCCGAAAAGAAAGAATTTTTAATTCTTTTATTAGTCTGGTTTAAACAAAGAGATTGAAAGTAGTGGCGGATCAACAGTACATCAAGCAACTGATATTCGTTGGGTCTCGATCATGAATTCATTGAAATCAATATTGAAATCGTATAAGATGATTAAGAAAATTTTGATCAATAGACAACAACAAAAACTATTCATCAACGTCGATGAAAAGAAAATCAAACAGATTATGTTATTGTTAGAACCATTTCAAGACGTGATGAAAATGATTCAAACTGGTAATTCACCATCTTTACATTTAGTCTTGTTATGTACACAAACATTGAGAGATGTATTAAAATCACTCGAATCATTAGTGAATTATCACGAAAATAATGGTGAGCATGAATCCAAAGAAAGATCGAATGAAATAGACGACGAGTTGTTCGAAGAATTAGAAGGTATGTAAGGAACAAGATGTTATATTGATGAAAACTTTTCGTATTATAGGTATAAAATTTTTTCTTAATCGAATCAGAGGTTTGTTGGACGAAATGTTTGAACTTGATATCAGACACTATTCTGCTACGTTATTGCATCCTAAGTATCGTTCAGTGAAAGCCTGCACTTGGACCGAACGTGCTGAATGTCACAAATATGTGCGTCAACAAATGCAGCTAATCTATATCGAGCTAAATGAATCGATTCAAAAGGAAGTTGAAGAACCTACAACAAAGAAGTTTAAAGGTGATTTGTTTCGTCGATTTGAATCTGATGGGTCAGATGTTCCACGAGAAGATGGAGGTGAATCTAGAAATGAAAGCGAAGAATATCCAATCTCATCAAGAAAAAGAGATGCACTTGATCGTTATTTAAATTTAGAGTTAGAAAAACTCAAATTATCATCAAATTCATTAAAATTCTGGGATGATCAACACGAGAAGTTTCCTCGTTTATCTTCTCTAGCTCATCGTATTTTTTCAAAACCAGCTACTTCTACGAGTGTAGAAAGACAATTCTCTGGAGCAGGTTTAGTTATACAAGAAATAAGAACGAGTTTAAATCGTGAACAATTAGACAATCTTTTATTGATCAGATCAATGAGAAAATATCAACATTTATTTGAACAACGATTGTCTTATTTTCATATATGAACTTTCACTATTTGTATTTGTATATTTTTGAAACACATATTCTTATATCTTCTCAATTTTCTACCATTGATGCTCATTACAGCTATTTCTACGTGATGCCGCGTCATTCTCACTTCGAATCTTCTATAAAATGTCATTTTGTTCATCATATATGTTTGCTCAAATATTTATTTACTTATTCTGTTTTGTATACATTTATTTCATTAATCATATTAAGAAAAATAGATATGATATTAATGATACAGGAATATAACTGTGAAAAGAATGGATGAAAAGTTCAATATTTTTTTTAGAAAAAAAATTTCATATATGTCCTGTACTAACCTCTGTCCTCATGCGCTCACACTTCCAAGATTGTAACTATGGATGAAGATTATACTCGAGAAAATATTTCTTGACACATAGATCTAATATTGTTATTGGAGACAGGTTTTGAAATTATTTTATTTTCAATAAGTAATACAATTGAAGGTCAAACAAGTCACTTTCAACCAATGTTATTTACGGTTAATATACAAAATTATGACAACACCTAATAAAGATATATAAGAATGAACAAATAATCACAACCTATAACTCTGTGTTTCATTGAAATAAATCAATTTCGTCGTGATGTAATTTGTCGAGTTATAACTAGTGGTTGGTGTGTTCGTTTAGCAGTGAATAATTTCATAAATTCGTAACGAAACAGCTTACTCGATAAAATGAAAAGATAAAAACTTAAACATGGAACTGCAAGAGAAATCAGACCAGCAATATTATAGAATAAATTGTCTTTGGCTGCCTGAAGAGCATCGATTATTATATTTGACCGTACTGATGTATAAATAAATTGTACAGAAGGTACACTTGCTGTTAAAATAAATATAAAACATTGAAAAAGCATCATTTGAATTAATTGACGATCTGTTACTTTGTGACGTTGTTGCAGATTTTGAATTGGTAAATTATTTATTTCAACACGTCTAATCGATTGACGAATATTTTGAACAGTACGTATACCGAAATAAAGCATTATAAATGGTGGACCTATGCTATATACAATTAAATTCCATGCGCCGTAAAACGTTTGATAGATGCCTGGCAGTGGAATACACGTTTGTTGACGTATATTAATTTGAAAATAGATAGGTACATGAATATAAATGATATCAACGACTAATATTGCAAGAGGAATAATACGACGAGCAACATGAAGACTACTAAAACTACGCAATGTTGCAGAAGATGAACTACATAAAAATCTAGAAACGGTAAAATAATTATCATAGATCTTACATCCATTCGTATTCATTAATAAGAAGTGTAAGAATATCTACCTGTCAATAGAAGCTAAAGCAGTAAACCATGCACTTTGCCCTCTATAAAAAGATATGATTGAGATATTATATAAATAAATCTGTTTAGTTACCTAGCCCATTGTAATAATAATAATGTAATTGCTTTACATACTACCAAGGAATTAGCCAAAAGATTGATATTATAACCAGCCTGTAATAATCGTATGGGTATAGTGATAGTAACAACACATATACCGCTAATGGTGGCTCCAAAAAAGTACCATATACATGAATTTGAACGAAATGATGGACGTGTAAATACATAAATGCTTGACATATGACCGATAATACCCAAAATAATAATCGAATAACACCAAATTCTTGCGAATATAATAGTAGTTTGTTGAATAAATATAGTTTCTGTAATGTTCGAACTTGACGACGACATTCTGTTAAATGATGTTACTTAAGCAGAGAATTTGAAAAGAATGACATGAAGCATAAATCATATTTATCATAAACTACAAGAAACTTGAAAAGGGAAAGAAAAAAAATTTCAATTCCATTAATGTTATTTTTTTCTAATTAACTATCATGGAAGATATAAGACAATATAATAAGAAGAATGAAGAGTAGTCAGCCCAAAACTAGCCAAGAAAAGAATGACAGCATCTTCAATAATTTTTATGTTAGAAAGTTAATTCATATAATGAAGGAAATGTATGTTCATGCCCTGATACCACTATAATCCTGCTCTATTTTTTCATAGACTTCTAGAAAATACCATGAATGATTTGTCGTAAAACAAACTGAATTATTTGTATTACAAGAATCTACACAATATTTCCCTCATATTTTCATTTCTTTCTTTGTGGCAATATCTATCATGATCGAATATGATCATTTTATCGTGTTCATATTCACTGTAAAAAAAAAGCGTAGAATAATCAACCTTTAAATCGTTTTTGAAAGTGCAACGTATAACAAACCCTTTTTAGCCGTTTATGACAACGTCATGAACTGTGAAAGATATGGCCTAAAAAGCGAATATGGCAGGGTTTATGAATGCACAATGACACAGTATAAGGGGTTTATTCCGGGGTTTATGACATTAATAAACCCTAAAAGGGATTGTTATACGTTGCATTTTCAAAAACCCATTGCAACCGTTTAATAATCAAAAGTACCATTTAATAAAGGTGCAAAAGAATCAAAGTTCTAAGGTATTTGACAATAATAAATACGAATACATTTTTCTGAAAACCGTATATAAGATGGTTGTTGAACATCATTAATCCTAAAAAGGATTGATGAGAGTGTAGATCACCAGGTATATGAGCCACACATATACACTTTCGGATATATGAATCGGTAGATGAATGGATAGATGCATGTCGCAAATACTCATCAGAGTGCATCACTTCGTTCATGAAAAGGTAGATGGGTATCACATATATCGATGAGGGGTATATCATTTCGTTGGTGAAAGAGTAGATGCATGTCACAAATACTCATTAGGATATATCACTTCGTTTAAGAAAGGGTAGATGGGTACTACAAATACTGATGAGGTACATTATGCCGTTCATGAAAGGATAGATACATGTCACAACCATTCATCGGGGTATGTTACTTCGCTCAAGAAAGGGTAGATGTGCATCACATCTACTGATCAGGATACATAACTTCGTTCATGGAAGGGTAGATAGATATCACATATACTGATTAGGGTATATGAATTCGTTCATAAAAGGATACATCGAGGTGAATGATATTCTCGACAGTATATAGACTAACTGTAATGAGGTGAGGTCTGGTTGAATGACGTGATGTATAAAGCTGTCACCAGCAAAAATGGTGCTTATTAAAACTGTTTGTAAGGATAGAAAAAAGGAAAGGCTACTAGAAGATGTAAGAATATACTATTATCGATTGACGAAAAAGTTTACTAAATATCTCAATATATATATATAGGCAGTTAAACTAATCAATCCTATGGAAGGACGGAGTCTAGGTTCGAGAAAGTAAGTATTTTAATATTATAAATAGATTGACATGTCTGAAATACTGGAAAAGAGTACTGGACTAAAACAAATGAATGTTTTGTTCACAGGATGAAAAAGCAAAATTATGGATATGCTAAGTAAACGGCAAAACTCCTATATGATAATAGAAAGACACGATTTTAAGGCAATGTCTACGAAAAGTTTAACAAAAATACGCGAAACTCAACTTTGTGTTCTGTAAAAAAGGCAGACAAAACATGGTAATCTTAATAACGAACATTGGCATTCTGGATCGCTGGAAAAGAAAGTTTAAATTAAGATCATTTAAAGTAATATATCTAATATATCCTTAAAATATTCAAAAAAGCTTCGGAGCAATAAATTTCAACTTATATATGGGCGTTATTTGAGTAGAATTACAGAGTAAATGCGCACCGCGGACGAAAGATAGAAATGGAAAAGATTAACGTGAAAATTACTACTCACAGAAATTCACCTTAAGACAAAATGATAGACAAAAAGAAAGGCTGATGTGGAGAATATTTGTTGGAAATAATATGTTACAAGATGTTCTTGTAAATTTAAAGTATGACGAGAAAGAAAAAATAAGTAAATGGAAATGACCTGATCTAACATAACACTTAAAACGCAACGATAAGTTAAAAGAAAATATGAATTGAAAAGAACTAGTCGAGAATGGAATTGGAAAACATTTTCTTAAATACCAACGCAACGAAAGGAAAGACGAAAGAAATAAAATGAAAGTAACAAACAGGCTTACCTTAAACTTAAAATGCAATGCCAAATACCAACAACAAAACCAGTGAAGTAAATTAACCAAGTTCAATATATTAAAGCACTTTTCCTAAAATAAAATGAAAAATATAGATTTAGATAAAAAGTTAGAACGATTTGAAAAAATAATAGGAACTTATCTGAAAGCTTGCTTTGAATGTTAAAATACTGTTCATATCCTTAAATACTTGTTGAATTTTGATTTGGATAACAAAACCCGCTGCGTTGGAAATAAGTATCTTGTAGTTAGTGTTGTTTCGAAGTCACAAAATAACATTGGTACGGAGAAGAATATGAAAGAATTCTTTTACTGGATGATTGAACTTAAAAAGGATGGTATGATATGTGGAAGACGCGAACAAGTGCGATATTATAGATTTTCGTGTTCGATGACGATCTGATAGAGATGGTTTCTACACGAATTGTTTTGATTACATAGATATATTTTGTGGCTCTGATCAAATATCAATATATATCGATTTTCTATCTGAAATGTACTGTGATGAGAAATGTCAAAAACTTTGGATTACATGACTTAACCCTTTGAGGACCGGTTTAATTTTGAAAAAACTAAGCTTTTTTATTTTTATTTTTACTTTCTAAAACATACGAAAAGAGCTTCTGTTTATTTAAAAACGTTCTAAAGTATGATATTTCTTAAAACAATCATCAATACATAGACCAACATCGCAATCAACACATTCATATAAAGTATCAGTGCGCTTTTTTGGTGCGAGATTTGTTCTACTACAAACAATACATTTTCGTCTTCGAATATGATTGTTGCCATTCGGTTCTATACGTGATGGGAAGTGTCTGCCAGTGAGACGAAGAGGTTCTGATGTTAATGATGGCCTTCCTCTTCCTTTTTTCTTCAAGCTGCCAAACTTTTGCACAATTTCACGTGTAACTTCCAAACGATAATCTAAGAAGGTGAGTCGTTTGCCAGTTTTTTGTTTGTATATAATATAACCATTGAGAAGAGCCATGTCCAAAATGTGCAGAAATAATTTTTTATACCATTTGATAGTTTTTCTGGTACATTCAGAAAAACTGATTTGCATATCTGTTTTATCTATTGCACCCATGTTTGAATTGTACTCCACAATGCATAACGGCTTTACGATTGGTTCATTTGTTCTTTGATTAATTTTTCCAGTTATGATCATATCATCATTATGAATCGTTGTTAACATGTTTACTTCTCTTCGATCATACCATTTGAGATACAAAAGATTATCTGTAAATTGAGAGAATTTTTCTCCCGCTTTCAACTTCTTGGACATATTTGGTAAACCAACACGATTTGGACGCACTGTTCCACAAGCTCCAGTTTTCATATCATGGAGTGTTTCATATAAAACAGAACTAGAATACCAATTGTCCATATAAAGAACATGACCAACATAAAAGTATTTTTCCATAAGTGACATAACAATGGAGCCTGATATTCCCAATGTAGGAAATATTTTAATTTCAGTTGTACTTCCGGTGTATATAATAAAATCTAATATAAATCGAGTTTTACAATCACATAATATAAATAACTTTACACCAAATCGGTGACGCTTAGATGGTATGTATTGCTTAAACATTAGCCTTCCTCGCCACAACATTAAACTTTCATCAATCACAAGATTTTTATAAGGATACATTGATTTGCTAAATTTTTCTTTCAAATTAAGTAAAATAGGTTTTAACTTGAAGAGTCTATCACCTAGAGTAGAACATGTATTGTCATTGAAATGTAAATAACGTAAAATAGATAGATATCTGTTACGTGTAAATAACTCACCAAAAATCGGTGTTGAAATAAGACTATCAGTCGACCAAAAATCTTTTATACGATTTTTCTTCGTATAAGACATAAGAATAGTAGCAGCAAAAAAAACATACATTTCCGGTATATCTGTATCAGTCCATAATGCAGTTTTTGCTGTAGGATTCGAATTATTTTGATGTTGATAAAGATTAGTTTGTGTTACAATACTTCCAACAAGTGATGCGTCAAAAAAATATTCAAAGAAATCAAATGGAGTTTCCAATGGATTATTCAGTAAATTACTGGAAATTCCCGAATTAGTAATAGTAAATTCTTGAACTTGAGGAACAAATTGACCTTCTCTCCATTTTCTTTCCAATCGTGGCATTTTTCTCTTCGGTAATGGAGAACCATCTTCATCTGATAAGTTGGAAATATTCGCAGAATCCATAGAGATATCATTTTCTTCTTCAGAGCTATCTGCGGATAAATAGTTTTCGTCGATATCATCTTCATATGATTCACATTCCGATTCAGCATTTTGTATAATTTCTAAAATTTCGTGGTCTGATGAATCTCTACGACGTGCCATTCACTTATGATATAAAAAATCAAGTTGACAAAAGACAAACACTTATCACTGAAGGATAATCTTTATTTAGTGTTGCTTTCGAAATATTTACTACATATATATAGACAAAGAACGAGAAAAATCGAAAATCATTTGAAAATAAACACGATTTTGAAAGATAAACATCACCCTTAACATAAGCAATGACATAACAGAAAGAAGAAAAATATATGTATATCGTGTATAGCGCAGTCAGATTATAATTGAAAAGAAAAGAAGATATGTAATATCTGTTATTATAACACTAACGCTGTAATGTATGACTGACTTTTTACACCAAAATTAAAGTATACAAAACCAAAATGTAACATAAAGATAGCTTATTTTCATTAAAAAAGTGTTAGGACGCACATATGCGCCAGCGGTCCTCAAAGGGTTAATAAATGATCTCAAATTTGTTTTCTAAGGATACAGTGATACGTGCTAGAACTGTGTAATNCCATCATACAGTTCATAAGTTTGGTCGTCGAAGAATCAATCCTTCTCTTCTAAACGTATGTAAATCAACCTTATGTTGCAGAATCATAAACCTTTCATCTGCAAACGTAGTATAAAATATCAATTTAAAGGTAACGTTCGAGACTCTACCTTTGTTCGTAGAATAACAAACCCTAACGGTAGTGCAAAGAAACTATTTAGTCATGTTCGTAGAATAATCAACGGTTTTTCAGTTACCATAGAACTGTCTACTTAGAAGTGTAGATTAAAGAACCGTTTTTTGGCATAAACGTAGGTTAATAAACCATTAAACGGCTTATTCTTCCCTTATGTTTTTCAAGAACCCTTGTATTCATATACTCACTAAACAATAAACCTCTCTCCAGTTTATTCCAACAGGAGATATCCTTAAAGCGTTGTTGTAAAAAAAATTTAAGTGCAAGAGTTCATGAAAATATTCTTTTTTTTTACAGTGTTATAGCGCCATTCTTGCCTCGTTCAGTTATTTGTAGGCATTCGTTTTCTCCTATGTATGAGTCGTTCTGATGTGAGGTGTATGTAAATGTCTTATTCATGATCAAATAAACCCGTAACTATTTGCAACTCGATTATTAATCATTTCTTACCTCAGTATGATGTAGGTAGGAAGAAAAGGAACTTTTTCTAGCCACTACTCATCTTTTTCTTTCATCCTCACCCTCATGATGGAAATCGTTTATATTCTTTTGATAAATCATTAATAAAAAATGGTAATGCCAAATGATAATTCGCTCGACTGAAAGGAGGGTCATGTCGAAAAAAAGTGCTCAAAAAACGGAAATTCGTTTGTGTGTATCTGTCGCAGGTCAAAGGTCAACTTTTAGTGATATGATGAAAAATCCATAAAACATGGTTTGGGAGGGCTGTTGACGGTGGATGTTCATTGGAGAAAGCATCGAGGTTAACTGTGATAGCGAAGGCCGTCTGAGCGCTCGAAGAGAATTATCCACTCGTGGTATACATTTATGGGTGTTGCAGTGGCTACAGGGAATCGATACAATCAATCAGTACCGATGCAGGCTTTGAAAAGATTGAGATCAACCTCGCGGGTGGATCAGAGTGAAAGGAAGGGTGAATGAGAAGATATAATCTATAGGCTGATGTGTGAAAGTGGCAATGAAGTCTATAAATGAACGACTGGAATGGAGAATAAATATCAGAGTAAAAGAAAATTAATCAAACTTCTATTGCAAAAATCAGATTCAGTAACGTCTTTGCATACAAAACTGCAACCGAAGCGACCATGTTGTGCAGCAAAGTTCGATGTAACAGGTCTGTTTTCTCTGTCTTCTAGAAGCAATAGTTGCTTACGAACGAGTATTCATATATTAACTTTCACAGTATCATAGTTGTAACGAATATTTACACTTACTAATGTACAAATTACATTGAGTCTCCTTTTCGAGTAAATACCTGTAGATGTTTAGAAGAATTTTATTTAATGTTGAATTCGTGAATAATTATGAAAGATAAAACGAAATTTAAAAATAATCAGTCCAGAATATAGAAGATAGTGAAAAATGGAACACACATTAGTCATTTGTTAAGCAAGTCAATAAGTGTTGCTTATGATTTAAGCTCGTTTTGCAATGTAATATGCATCGGATTCGATTCCGCACATATTGACACCACGTCGGATTCGAAAATAGCCCGCTTCACCCCAAGTGTTTCCCCAGCTATTTCTTACTTTCCAGTAAGGAATATTTGTTACCGTATCTACTCCATAACCAACGATAACAACAGCATGATTTCTCGTGCTCGATGATGTTGGACATCCATTAGGTTGCCAAATTCCACCTTGATAAGATGAAAATTTATTTAAGATCGATATATATGTAGGGGACGAATTAGAACCAGCAAAAAATGCCACATATAAAGGTCCATAATAAATTAAAGCTTGTTGCATACCAACGACATTATTTGATGAAACAGTATTGTAAAGAAGTGGACTAAATCGCACTCCAGGAGCAGTAGCTTTAAATAAACATTTACCTGCGACGTTCTTATAAGGATAATACGATGCAGTATTCACTTGCCAACTATTACTCTGTATATAGTTGAATGTATTAATAAAGTTGCCTCCATTACAACCAGAAGTGCTTTTTGAACAGTCTACTACCTGTTGTTCACTTAAAATTAGAGTAGACTTCGTCTGAACAACATATTGAAATTCAAGTAAACAAATAGTTGCAAATGCATAGCAACTTCCGCATGCTTGTTGATTTTTAATTGACTGAATCTTAAATGAACAAATATATTTCCTAGTATGAGAAAAAAAATGAATACTAACCACGGGGATTTTAGTTCCTGAAGCTACTACCATTGTATAGTCATACCATGTTGGAAGACTTGCTCTACTAGTTGCGACCTTTCCATCCCATGTCATCATGCGTTCACCTGCTTTGGCATTTGTTGTTGGAACTTTACCTTCAGGTATTCGAGCACCGTTCAGTTTCATCAGTTCATCCAGTGTCCAGTCAGAATGATTATTGAGACCGAGAGTATATGTTTTATCACCTTGTCGACGATGTTCGATTAGCATATTTAATGTTTTATTAAATGAATCCAAACGAAGTTTCTCTTCATTTGTTGTTCGAATTTTTCGATTATATTGTTTGTTGTATAAATTGAATAGATTTTGAATTGCATCTGTATTTGATTTGCCAGAACTTTTGCTCATAGTTGATGCAATAAAAGATTCCAAGGCATTATCAAGCTCGGTACTTGAAACTTGTGTATGAACCAAAAGAATAAAACATAGCACGAATTTTGTTGTTTCCATTTGTTTTTGTTAATAATACGAATGTATTGTGTTGTTCGTTGCAACACTCTTTTATAGGTGAATTGGTGGTTGATCTTCGACATCTAAGTGTTTTCGTCTGCAACACTTCACAGGAAAAATTTCTACCAACTTACTCAGAATAAAAGCAGAATTGTTTCATAGAGAATTTGTTTATAAGGGAAAAAACCTCTGTTTGCAAGAAATTGTCAGAAATCAAAAACGTACCCAAGCAACGGTTTATCGCTTGAAAAAAAATTTCTTCTAAAAAATATGTGTTAGAATTTGTTGCGGTAGGTTTCGTCTCACCTCATTGAAAAAGATTTCAGAATAGCTGCCTAATTCGACTTCTAATATAAGTGACCTATTCCTAGCACCCTTAGGAATAGAAATAGATTTAGTTTTCCTTATACATACATACCATCGCCAACACCCACCGCAGCTCCCTCAATCGAGATATACCCCGGGTGTGGGTGTGGGTGTGTATATGTATAAGTAAAACTAAATCTATTTCTATTCCTATCTACTCATTTGTTATAAGTGTGATATAGGTATCTATTTATATTCGAATTGATACTAGCCTGTCGGGGGTCGACTTATTTTATAAGTCGAATTAGGCATCTCATGAGATTTCAGGAGTGTGATACTTTTAAAGCACATATATTTAAAACGACGCAAATTCGGATGTCCATTTCAAAATAAAACACAGAAAATCCAAAGTTATTCTAAAAACATCCATCCGCCTTTTATTTCAAAATGGGCATTAATATCTTCACTTTCAGTGTCATCGTATTCATTTTTAACGAATATGAGTAATAATGAGATTTTTCAGTACAAGTCCAAAGATACTTCTCTCATAATCCATGTTTGCTATTCTTATCATCATTTATAACGCATCTCGTTAGTTCTTCAAACATCTTTGCTGGAATTGTGTCTGATCGTGATCTAATAGAAGACTAAGCTACAATTGGATTAAATTAGTCTTGGTATTATGTGCTCTTATTTCCATGTTTGATAGTTGTATTCTAACTAATTCATCGGTTCTTCTCTTATGCTTTCTCGTAATTTTATCTTTGATACAATATGTATGTAAGATAACGGCAGAATTTTTTGTTACCAATAGACTACAGGATGTTGCAGACGATGCGAGTCGTTGGTTATGGTTTTCATCACACTGGTCGCAATGCTTCCGGACAGAATGGGAACATTCGTCGATCCAGAAGTACCGATATGTTAGAGAGAAAGACTGGACATGGTGGTGTGGACGATCTTCGTCCGAGTTTATTCTCTAACTCTATGTTTAATACAGAAAACGGTGTACATATATACGAACGAGAACCAAGGCGAGAAAGAATCTGATGAAGAGAGAGCAGGGCGACGTCATGTCGCCCTAACAATCATAGAAATTCATCATATCTCTTGTTTTCATTCAGAGTATTATTCCCTCTCCCTTTGAATAATATTATTTACCATCCAGTATATAAAACAAATGAAAGAAATGAGTTTTTACGAAGTGTAGAAGAAGTGCAACTAAAAGTCTTACACGATTTATAATTAGCGAAAGTCTATGCCTAACTTTATTCATTAAACATTTTATAAATTTATCTTTTTCCAACTTAGAAGAAATTATATAATACTTGTATTCAGATGTCCAATTGATCTTTTCGTTAGAATCAAGTTGTAGTATACATAAAATTGAGGAAGTCCCAATTACACTTGCACTAAATAAGGCTTAATTTTTGTTAGTATTAATAGATGAGAGTGTTGGTAACAGTATAGACACAAAGGAAAACTCAAACAAGCGACTTCTCAGTTATGTATACGTACTTCATTTGTGTCGGGTGATGTGCTTCAGCCAGCTGATTTCTCTAAGCTGTTCCTTATAAAGTGGCGATGGTAGAGTATAGATAAGCAGAATCGAAATCTGTGGTGCAAAAGAGAAATAATAGAAAAGAAGTGCGATGATGTTGAACGCTCGACTATCAATGAATTGACAACTGTCAAGAAAGATGAGAATAATTTGTGGCAATTGACTAACAAAACAAACCACTGGAGCGATGAGAAATTCCACTCGTTGTTCCAGAACTATAACGAACGAATTCCAATGGCTTGCCTTACTCATATTGGCTTTCGATTGGCTGATATGGAGAAGAAGAACCAATGTTGAAATGACGTTCAACGTGAATGGCACGATCTGATGCAAGAACATCGCAAGCCGCAGGTAAATTGTGTTTGACGATGACAAGTGTAATACACACCACGTTTCTGTTTGTTGATCAGTAGTTTCGCGGAGAATTCGATATGAGAGAATGTACGTGACGCAACTAGCAAAAACCAGTAGCATTGTAACGAGAATCATCCGAGCAGCGAATCGTGACGAATGAATCGATAAGTAGGCTTTTGGCCACACAATGAACATCATCCGAGTCATACTAATGAACGACATAATCCATGAACTGACAAACCACATCGATGACATGACATACGGCAGGATGCGGCACAGATTAATATTCACATTTAGATTTATTGGATAGATGCGAATTAGTAGTAGATGAACAATGCGTACCAGCAGCAAAGTGACCGTCAGTTGACTGAAAATGCTATTCGTCAATAAATAAATGCTACATCCACGCGACGATCGTTTCGATGGGGATAATTGACGCGTGTACGTTTTATAGAATACTATAGCGCTTATTCCATTGAATAGCAAGCCAAAAATAAACATCAGTGCAGGTGCGATCAACTGATAGAGTGATCCCATAGACATAGATACCAACAGAGTTTCCAGAGTAACCGTGAATCGACCAAAAGCGTATTGACACCTTTTACCAGTGGTACACAGCGGACATATGCAGACAAAATCTGATCTATTCAGGCGATTGCCATGAATACACTGGCCATCGTTGAAGCAAACGCTTTCTTGATGACACTCGCTCAAATCCAAGTGGAACGAGACACACTCGGCGCGCGAGGGATCTCGATCACATCGACAGAAATATTCTTCTGTATAAAAGCAATGAACTGAGAGATGCTTTTGGCAGTAGCCGTGAAACATGTGTATGTCTTTTGTCGTCATCAAGTTCTTACAGTCGATCGCTTTGGCAACATCGACGGCGAATCGAAATCGTGTATGCTCAGTACAGTTCGCATAGAGAAGATGAACACGCGATCGAATACTCGAAACCTGCCGCTCAAAGACGTGTAGAAATCCGAGCTCAGTGAAAACGTCTTGCGAATCGAAGGGAATGCTGAGCGGCAGTTGATGCCAGTGAATCAATGACTGTTGTCGCAGGACGGTGAAACCTCGACGCACACCGAATAGCTGCAGCAAGAAGCCTTGATAATGATCGTGGGGAAAATAACGATTAGTTGTCGAGTAGAGAGTGATGATGGCGGTCGTTTTTTCACACCGTCGGCCACTGTAGTATTGACCGCAGATGCATGTATAATTACCAACTTCCGCATGTGCGTAGCAACTACCGTTGTTCAAGCATGGATTCGATCGACATACGGGATTTTTCAAACGACACAACGGTGGAACCTGGCCTTCGGGACACACACAAAACCAATCTAGCTCATCAGTAGTTACGTCGGTGTGAATCGCACGACATTGTGCGGACTGAGAGCATGGACATCGTTTAGATGCGTGTCGTTGTTCACAAAACTGACCGGTGAATTCGGACGGGCATTGGCAGTGACTATCACCTAGCTCATGTCTGTTAATGATCACGTGGCATGTGCCGTTGTTCTGACAGATGAACTGTGCACAGTTCCAAGGAATGTGGGCGTGTTCAATCAGCGGAAAACGAAGAATTTTAGCGAAGCGATAAGAAGGTAGGAAATCGAAAGCGATCGCGTATTCCCAAACGGCTAGGAGGTCGATGTTCACTGAACTTGAGTTAAGTGCTTCGAAACGAACGCTGTACTGGCACGAAGGCTTCGGCTGAGGATAGAGTAAATAACGATCGTACTTCAGACGAGTATTGCCAACCGAGTCAACGAATTGTGCGTAATCAACTATTTCACTCCGGTTGCATACTAGATACATGTAGATGTGTAAAATGTGTGGTAAATCTGTTCGATGTAAACGATCGAGGCGAACACGAATTGGAATTCGCCGACTATAGTATTGACAGCGGTCACCGTAATGATTCGGTGGACAGAAGCATGATGTAACGAGACCATAAGATGTATTTTTTTGGATAATCAGCCCGTGATTGCACACTAAAACTGACAGGCTCGCACTTGCTGGTGGTGGTGAAACTGTGCCGGAAGTCGTAGATGGTGTAGAAGTGAAGGCTTCTCTAGTACCCATACAGAATTCATCATAGTTGGATAATGATCTCTTATTTCCTCGATATGCGACTAAAGTATTCGCACACCAGAACAAATGCTCACTGTCCGCACATTGCTTTCTTTTGGAGCATGAATATGATGGGATACATTTTCCATTCAAACATTGAAATTGCGGATAGTTGCAGGTCGACGTAGTTCGATTACTCCCATGCATCCAATAACACACTTGTTCATCACTGCCTTCGATGCAATCATTGAATCCATTGCAGACCAGGCTATTGTGTATGCACGAACCGTTAGCGCATCGAAACCGATGGCCCAGCATTCGATTGTCCTCTCTGCACCAAGCGGTATTACGTTCATCAGTGGCGCCTAAACAATCGATCTGATTGTTACCTACCTGTGTCCATGAGATGCAAAGATGTAATTTAACTGGATCTTGAATAAACTCAGGTGTTATACAGAAGAAATCGCCTCTGGAGTGACATACTTCCTCTAGAGAAAACCGCGATTTGTTCGTGGAGCATTTGCGTTCATCTTCACCATCTGCACAGTCCCATTCGCCATCGCATTGCCATGCACCTTTGATGCATTGTCCAGTCCTGTTGCATCGGATGTACGGCTTCGAGCAAATCCAGTGCGTGCAGTTTCGTTCGTCATCACCGTTCCATGTATCCCACACCGTATTGCAATAGTGATGAAATGCCAAATGAATCTGCCGAACCTTTTCATCGTCACGCAAAATGTCGCATGAAAAGAAATTATCATTCCAACATTTGTGAGAGTTCCAATCGATGAACGGAGAGATCTCGTCGGAACCATCATCGCAATCTCGACGTCCATCACCAAGTTGATGGGTACTGATGTATTGGAATGGCACCGCTGAGAAACATCGATATCGATGTGGCCGATTCACCAGTGCACTCAGCGATGGGAGCTCATCTTCTCCGTAAGGGCAATCTTGATAACCATCATGGATGCGCCATTCGCTAATGAACCGCTCGTTGGATTTGCACTGCCAAAAACCACGATTATTTCTCGTGTGTGGTAGTCGTGAGTTGGTAAATGAGCTCGAGCACAATAAAAAGCGAAACGGCCATTGGTTGTATCTGCGGAGCACTTCACGAGACGAGACGCAAAAGGATTGATTTAAAGTAGTGATGATCCCATTGCAAGTTGCACTTCCATGAAAACAGAAGTAATGCGGTCTCTGATGTACTGGCGCTATCGCATAGGGAGGAGCTTGACTAATGATTTTATTTAAATAAAAGATTGATTTATTATAGTGAGTATGCATGTTTGCTGTGAGAAATGATTGTCGTGGAAAGTTAAAAAATTCGTTGCACGATTGATTGAAAGGCTCGATCGTTCTTACTTTTCCTAACAGTAGATGTCGGAAAGCCGCTGTGCAATTATCATCCTCAACTAGTTTTCTAAGATTATTAGCAGATTTCAGACAGGAACCATCATTGTTGGTCGTTCTCAATTCAAGCCCATGGTTCATTTCACATCGATGAAACATCTCTCGGTAATTGTTACAATGGTCTTGTTGGTCAAAGAGATGTTGCCATCTTAGGCATTGCCCGTCACCACATGAGTATGGCTCCTCACTACTACATAAACGCTCGGCACAGTCAGCCTGATAAGGCAATTGTCGACATCCTTGCACTGTCTTAGTCAGCATACTTAACCTTTGTTCGTCCGATTCATCTTGACAATCCAGCATAGTATCAAACAGCCAGTCTTGTGGTATGCACATACCGTTTCGACATCGATACTCACTCACTTCGCATTCATTGGCTTCCAACAGTTCGCAATTATACTCATCCTCACCAAATTGGCAGTGTTCAATCCCGTCGCAAACGTATCGCCAATCGAGGCAGTTCGTGCCCATCTGGCATGGAACATCAATCAAACACCATTTGTCGAGGAAAGAACCAACCCTAGCCGCTGTAAGTTGGCTCACCAGTACCGATCTCGGAGTAAGACGGAAGTCAGGTTTCAGGTATTCGCAATTCATTCCGAATCTATCGTTAGTGCAATGACAGATAGATTTATTATCGTAATGCTTCGACTTCAGTGTGGCGAGTGATAGATAGTGCGCATATGATTGGGCTATATCAATTGGTACAGACCAATTTAGTAATTCTTCGGCACTAACATCACTTGATCTCAATTCTTTAAATGATCGTGTCATGTTCTCGGGACATGAAAACGATGAGATTGGAATCTTGGATACATTCGTGGGTCTCTGGCAATACCAGGTCGACTCGATCAGCAGACAGTCGTGAAAATGTGCAGCGGACGATGGAAACGAAAAATATAGAAGCCAATCGAAAGTAGGCTGTTGAACAGATCCGTGTGTTAGTAATATAATAAGAATAATCCCTTGCATGACGACCCGTACATATTTAGTCTCCACGAAGACCATTACAGTAAACCGATTTCACCTACAGCTAAGATAGAAGATGGCAATGCAAATGATGTCGTATGAAAATCCTTGCTCAAATAAAGTAGATAGATTTGACATCATGCATATAAAACTTCCGTTCATGACATTATCAGATTACACAAAACGGTGTGTGCCAGACTAAACTGATTTCAAATAACACGTACATAGTATAGCATAATTACGTCGCATGCCGGAACGTGTTGATCTCATTTTCTCGTTACTAATAAATGTATTCTTCAATTTGTTCTTTCGTTCAAGAAAATATAGATATATGTATTAGACAGTAAGCAAAATATCTGGTATGATATTTCAGAAATGAAATTGTATTTGTCATTTAGTTTATATTCACATATCAAAAACAAATGTCAAGAAAATTGACTCAATTAGTATGTATCATATAGGTCTGATAGAGCGCATTGAAAAAAATTGTTCGAATATTTTAAGTACCATGGAAAATTCTATTGCAATAACAAACTTCATATTCTACTAATATATTCGATTCTTTATTAGAAATATCTCAAAATTACAATATAATTATAAATGATGCAAATGAATCACAATTGTGATGAAATTTGGTCTGGTAAAGCTTTAAAATATAGCAGAGCACCGAAATCACGTGGATCAAACCAGATCGGCGAATTGACAAAATGATCAACCACATCTGTCATACGTTGTGATATAAGAGTTCGAGACACAAATTGTGCTGTTGCAGCCAATGCTCTTCTTTGTAGCAACGATTTGAATGGTGAAGATTCTTGAACATCACAGAGGAAAAATGGGATACCATCAGCATCCATCATACTGCTCAGAGCAGAGAGAAATCTTTCTTGTATATCGATGGAAACGGATGATTGTGTCTTGAATGAATGAATGGAAAAAGTTCAGTGCTATACGCACTTGACCACGATATGGATTGTTTACATCCAGTCGATCATCACAAAGAACAGTAGATGATGGTTGCCATATCATTGCTGCTGCAAACTGTTGTGAAGCGAAATCACCGACAATAAAAGTACCTACATAGTCATTTAACTGCATAATATGCCGTAAATCTGATAGAACTGGACGCTGAGTCCAATCAATCATATCAATCATCCAAAGACGTTCTGTTTCTTCCGAGGTAAGTTTCTGTAATTTAATACTATCGGAAATGAGTCCCGTGGGTAGAATGAAAGAGTTCAGTACAATGCCTGCTTCAGGCTCTGCACCGAGTGAACGTCGTTGAAAACTCAATGATGGTAGATTGGTAACTGACGTGTAACCTTGTGAATAATCAATGTGTCGAACACTACGCCACTGACTCATATGACTAAAGAGAGTCGTTAGAAGATATTTACGCCTTTGATTAGGATCGACGCGACCTAAACGGGCGAATGCTACATTCATTAGATAAAATCCAAATTGTACTTTTTTCAGATTAACAGCCGCAATAGCAACGATACGACCGTCTGTCGGTTCCATCAATGTAAAACAATATGATTCGGGATATTGTTTCATGCAATGAAGATGATCAATAGATTCACAATGAAATAAAACAGGCGATGCATTATTAATTAGTATCCATCGTTGCTACTTTATGATTTGTCGATTCACATCGGCGAAATAAGTCACGTATGGCAGTTAGATCTTTTTCATAATCATCCATCGAATGAACACGAAAAATCAATCCTGACGATCTTGTTGTTGTTATCATTTTTTTCTTCTCCAAATGTAAAAATTCTGCTATATGTCTGTTGGATTCATTTATATGTCTTATCTTTCTTTTGTGTTCTATATTTTTATCTAGAAGTAACTCCTAACAAAGATGTTCTTAAATAGATACTGAGAAAAATCATTCAGACTTAAAAATTATTCGACGAGTAATTAATTCATTGTGTTTCTTGGATCTGTCTGTCGAAGTGATTTGTAACAGAGGAAAAGCATAATCAATGCATCCTCTTCATTTCTGTTGACTCCCAAGGATGTCTGTTCTTATTCGAGACCAGAAAAAGGTTCTATTAATATATCGTATTAAAACTACATTTAATGGTGATATATCTGGAAGTTATATCGCTGTTTTTTTTATCGTGTTTTGTCAAATCTATAACAAAAATCGGAACATATCGGTAATCAGGCCATACAAATTAATACCTGCATGCAGAGCAGTCAAATATTTCATAAAGCACTCATGTCATCACCGTGCGTCTCAGGCGCCTCGATTCTCTGAAAGTCACTTCACATCTACCTCACACACCCTTAAGTTTTTGCCATGAAAAGCATTGTTTAGTCTTAATGTTATATGTTTAACCTTTATTCATAATAAAAGTAAATGCACTTTTTTATAGTATTACGTATTCTTCACAATGAAACGTTTCTGAATGCTTGTTCGTATTAACCCTAGTACTCCGAGCCTATTTTAAGCGCTATACTAACAACATTTCTCTTCATCGAGTGACTTCTTTACTCTTGCATCAATGCTCTGATCGTATGGAAGGCGCAAAACCCTC